CTCTACTACTTGTGAGCTGTGTGACCCTCGGCAACTTGCGGAACTTTCTGTGCCTTGGTTTTCTTTCTTCTAAAGCAGGGATCGGGAATTTCCTGGCGGCCCAGTGGTTAGGACTCACACTTTCACTGCAGGGGACACAGATTTGATTCCTAGTTGGGGATCTATGAGCCCGCAAGCCACAAGGTGTGGCCAAAACAAAAAAATTTAAAAAATAAAGTAGGGCTGAAAATGGAAACTTCCTCTGAGGTCACGGTGAGGACGACAGGAATTGATCAGTGTAAAGCACTCAGAACAGAGCCCGCCCAGAGCAAGTGCATACTAGCTGCTGTGTGCATTTTGCTCCGTCACACCGTGCCCAGTGAGGGAGGGACTGCGCGTGCAGTGGGATTTCGGGGTACCAAAGAAGGTGTGGGGGAGGACGAGCGTTTCTTGAGTCCCCACAGTGTGGCCTGAACGTTTAGGACAGTTGACAATCTGCTTCTGGCCCTCAGGACACCACCCTGCAAGGTACGACACCACCCTGCAAGGTAGGCGTTACTATGTTCCTTTACAAATGAAGACCCTGAAGCTTAGAGGTCAAGGATCCTGCTGGTGCCAGACAGGACTGAGCCTGCTTCCTGCCCGGCTCTGTGAGAGTCTGAGGCCACTGCTGTTACTCACCTGCTCCCTCGTGCTGGTGGAAGAAAAGTTGGATGGGGCCACGTGATGGTGCAGGGTGGGCTGCAGGGCAGGACATCTGAAATCCAGGGAAGGAGTTTCAGGAAAGGACTGTTTGTATCACTTATCAACCTCTTACTCTGTGCTGGGCACATGTGCATGATCCCATTTACTCCTCAGTGAGGCATACTATTCATCCCACCTAAGGATGTGGCTCGCAGGGACCAGAGAGGTTAAGTAACTTGCCCAAGGTCACACAGTTGGAAAATGGCACAGAGACTCCAGAATCAGAGTCACCGCCCTGGGAAGGGGAAGGTGTGGGATCTCGAGACTTGTCAAGAGAAGGTAGTTCAACCTCTCGGGGGCCTGAAGAGCAGGACAGGGGCCTGCAGAGGGCCGTGGGCAGGACGGGACATCCTTGTGGCTTGATCCACCCCCAGCTGCCTCTTACTTTTTGAGGTGCTGAGCTCAGCTGCCTGCATTAAGTCCTTTTCCTCCTCCAAACCCCCGGGTGTATATGATGAAAGGACAATCCCCCCGTCCCCCAACCAGATAGTCCAAGCCTGAGAGGCCTCAGTCAGAGCTGGGGTAGAGGAGGCTCTGTGCTCCTCAGACGGCTGGAAAGTGGGCCAGTGGTGTTAATTCCTCCCACCTGCCCAGGGAAATCATACCTCCCACCCCGGCCCTGCACCACCCACATTGCCCCGTGGGTTCACCCTCTGGAGAAGTCAGTCTCCCCTCCAGGCCCCAGAGGGGCTCATGTCAGGGGGAGGCTGCTTAGACTTAGAAGCACCCACCCGATCGCCTGCCTAATTACAGACACTGTGCTGGGCCCTTCTTTCATTCTACTTCCTTTTTCCCCACTCCCCTGCCAGAGAGCTATGAAGGTCCCCCATCTTAGAGATGGCGAGAAGGAGCCCCTGGCTGGAACTGTTAGTGGTGGAGCCAGGTCTTGAAGCTGGGTTTCTGGACTTTCAGGCCAGTGTTCTTATCTCATCCTCTTCATCTTCATCATCATCATTTTCATCTCATCTCATTCTTTGCGTTTTACCTGCAATGCCCTGTTGACCTCTCAGCCTATTTTTCTATTATATAGGTGAGGTAGGCATTGTTAGCATCATGTCCATTTTGCAGATGAGGAAAGTGAGGTCCACAGAGGACATGCTAGAAGGTTGACAGAACTGAGCCCAAGAGCCTAACGTGCTGGTTAAAGCCCCAAATGTGAGGCTTTAACCAGCCCATGTTTTCATACAGTTGAAGAGGGGTTGAGTGATGGGCAAGGGGCTGCGAGGAAGCAGGGCTGGCAGCTGGCAGTGCAGCCTCGGAAGACTTCAGAGAACAGGGGGGCTCGGGCTGAGCCTGGAGGGCTGGGGAGAGGCGTGAGGGTTCTGGGTTGCATAGGGCATCGTGAGAGGTGAAGGGAAGGCTGGGAACCAGGGTGAGCCGGGGCCTGCAGCCAGCAGGCCTGAGTCAGAATTCTGCTTTTGCCTCGTCTGCTGTGTGACCCCCATCTCTGCTCCCCCACCCCCACCCCACCCCCAGCCTGTGATTCTTCAGCTGGGAAGAGAAATAATAACCCTGCTTGTTGCGGTGGTAGGTACTTAATAAATACTTGTTAAATTAACAAAGAGTTGCAGTGATGCTTCAGCGAGAGAGACCAGGCAGCTCCTGGCATAGAGCTGGCACTTCCAGAGTGTTCCTTCTCTGAGGGCGGCCACCGAGAGGGATGGCAGGTGGAGCAGGGCCCACACTGAGCTGTGTGACCACAGGCCGGTGCCTTCACCTCCCTGTTGCCCCACTGACACCAAAGGGAAGCCCGAAGGCCTGCCGCTGGGCTAAGAGCTCCCTATATCCGGGCTTCTGTCCCCCACCTCCATCCTGCATCTCTGGGCCGAGTGCGCCTGCCCTCCCTGGGTCTCAGGACCCACTGCTGCTGCTGTCTGGAGCCAGAGGTCCTGCGTGATGTGCTTACAGACACCATTGTGACTCCCACAAGGGACAGGGTGCTTGTGGGGAGACTCACCCCACAGCCCGCCCGGGGTGCTGGAGCCTGCAGGAGCTGCTGCCGCTTTATCAGCTTCTTTTTTTTTTGCAAAAGGAGTTGTGGGCAAGGAGGGAGCCTTCAGTGTCATAAAATCATAAGGAAAGCCTAAAAGGACACATGTGGTTCTCCTGCCTCTCCGGACCCCCTGGCAGGCAGGGTCCAGCCCTCCTTAACTCCCTAGGAAGGGGCAGGAGAGCAAGCCGACAGCCCTGCTGGTCACCTTCACTCCCTCCCAGAGGTTCAGGTGTCCGCCCGCTGCCGACTCGTGTGCTGCAGCCCTGTTCTCGGCCTCAGTTTCCCTAGTTGTCTAGGATCCAGATGTTCACAGCACAGCGAAATTAAAAACCAAAAAAAAAAGTAACTTGCACAGCATTGTCGATGCTTCACTTGACCAAGAAAGGACATTACATTTTTAAAATTTTATTTATTTATTTATTTTTATTATTATTATTTTTTAGGACATTACATTTTTAAAAAAGCAACTGGCATCTCCCATCCCCATCATTTCCCCAGAATCAAGAACATTCACTATGAAAGATGTTGCAGGCTGCAGTCTTAGAATAAAGAACAGGGACAGCAGGGAGCACCCAGCGGGGAGGGGATGGGCTTGTCCCAGGTCACCCAGGGAGGCAGCCAGGGGGCCAGCCCTCAGCGCCCCCCACCGTGGAAACCCTGTTCTCCAGGCGAACAAGGCACATTTGGTGCAAGCGGGGTGAGACCAGCTCCCTGCCTTCCAGAAAAGTATACTTAACTGTGGCCATGGTGCAGGCACCTGAACACAGGGCACTCTTGCTCTCTCTCTTTTAATAAAGCATCTATATTCAGAGGGGGCTGGTACCCAATTGTCAATGTCCGTCGCCTCTATCCCATGATCTGTGGCCCTTTCTCTTTCATACTTTTTCCCTCAGGCCCTTGTGCCTTCGCCAGGAAGACCCGTGTGACAAGCGAGGGACAGAAAAGCTGGCCATCTCCTGGCCGCAGTGACCCAGGAGCACTCGGCGAGCGCCGGACTCCTCACTTTGCGGTCATCCTGGTGCCGGCAGCCGAGCCCCCGCCCCGCCTCGCTGCGGTGATGGGGCAGTGGTGTATCTGGACGAGTCACAGCAGACGAGGGGCTGGGCCTTTCACCAGCCCAGGGTCTTCAGGGGCACGCGCGGAGGTGGAGGGTGACGGGCCCGGGGGCAGCACCTGCGCTCGGTGACTGCTTTCCCAGCCGCCCAGGAGTGGAAGTTTCTGATCCCGAGTTGATGCACCCGGTGGGGGTGGCCCAGGGCCTGGCGCAGGGCAGGGGCTCGGGAAATGGGGTGCTGTAACGGAGAGAGGAGGCGTGAGGCCTGGAGATGAGCTGAGTCCCCACCGGGCTACCGTGTGGGGCTGGGGCTGAGGGACCAGGCTGATGGGAGGGCGGGGCTTGTTGGAGGGCGGGGCTTATTGGAGGGCGGGGCTGGGGCAGCGTTGAAGTGGACGGTGTGAGTGTAGAGGGTGGGGAGCAGGGCGGCAGGGACATGCGGAGCCTCTTCCTGAGGCTTGGCTGACACTCCTGTCACTTCCAATCAGGGATGGGAAACAGCGGGCAGCGCTGGTGCAGGGAGCACCGTGGAGAACCCTCTCCTGCAGCACCAGAGGAACCCCCAGGGTCAGGGCCAGTCCCTTGGGCAGCAGACAAGGCCGGCAGCTCCGCGGGCCCCTGTGTGGCCTTGGGCGGGGCTCTCACTCTCTCTGGGCCTCACCATCCTCAGCCACCAAAGGCCCAGGTCACTGCACTCAGTCCCCTCTATCTCTATCCTGCAAAGCCGCGGCCATTAGGTCCAGGGCCTGCCTGGCTGGACTGGGGCCCTCTCTTCCCACGCCCCATATCCTACCCCAACCCCCTCCAGGGAGGACGCTCCTCTTTCCAGGAGCACCTTGACCTTCCAGGAGTGGGAGTGAGGTGATCATCCAGGGCTGGCCCAGCTGCTCTGGGACCCTTAGCAAGTTCATCCCAGCTCTGAGCTTCCTTGGCCTCAGATGTAAAATGAGGGTCTTTTTTTGAGGGGGTTGCTGTGCTGGGTCTTCATTGCTGCTCGCTACCCAGCTTTTCTCTAGTTGTGATGAGCAGGGGCGACTTTGAGTTGCAGTGCTCAGCTTCTCATTGCAGTGGCTTCTCTTGTTTCGGAGCCTGGGCTCCAGGGTGCACGGGCTCCAGTAGTTGTGGCGTGAGGGCTCAGTAACTGCAGTTTCTGGGCTCCAGAGCACAGGCTTAGTAGTTGAGGTACATGGTCTTAGTTGCTCCGAGGCATGTGGGATCTTCCTGGACCAAGGATCAAACCTGAGTTTCCTGCACTGGCGGGTGGATTCTCTACCACTGAGCCACCAGGGAAACCCCAAAATGAGGGACTCGAAATCACTCATCTTGAAACCCTTCATTCAGGCACTGGTTCTTTCTGTGGTGCTCACGGAGGCATTGGTGATGATGAGACAAAGCGAAAAGGGACCTATTTAGTGAAGGAAGACCTCCCTGAAAGCCATTTATAGCCAAGAAGGTACATCTGGCCCCCAATCCCTTTAGAGCTACCACCCAGAGCCCTGGCCATTGGGAGGCTAGGGGAGGTAGCAGAGAGGGCCTGACTCGCAACTAAGAACAGGACCTCTTAAGGGCTGGCATTGTCCACCCCCATTCATTACCTGTTAGATCTTCAGACCAATGGGTCTCACTGGTCCCATTTTACAGATGAAGAAACTGAGGTTCAGAGCCATCAAGTAACTTGCCCAAGTTACATGGTGGATCTGGGACTTCCAGGACTAGGGGCATCCAGGGAGCTCATTTTAAGGGGGGAAAGGGAGATGAACCCAGAGTCAGGGTGGGGTGACTGTGGGGGAGGAGGGGGGTGGGCAGGGCTCGCTCTCCCTGGGCTGAGAGAGGGAGTTTCTCCTGGGAAGAGGCAGGCGCTGAAGCCGTTGATCTCTAAATTACAGCGTTGGCGCGCACCGGTTGCTGCGGCAACCGAGTTGTCCTGAACCGGGGAAGTGTATAAACATTGCCACAGATGCACAATTAGATCAGGAAGAAGAATAGAACAGAAAATAGAAACTTCCAGCCTTATATAATTCTGGGCCAAAACGTTACTAGGAACCCGGGCCTGGGCCCAGCCCCAACCCTGCCAGACAGCTGGGGCCCTGGACAGCACCATCTCTCTCTCTTGGGGACCCCATGGAAGGCAGGGGTGATAGGGGGGTCTGCCCTCTGTGGTCCCAGCTTGTATACCTGCCACCCAGCAGGATGAGAGGCCACCTCCACTGAAACAGCTGGGGATGCTGACAGGCAAATCCTACCTCTCATGAGATTCCTCCTGCTCCCTGGGAAGCAGGAAGGAAGGCAGGAGGCACTGGCTTTCACAGAGCACCTATGGTCTCCTTGGGTTCCTGTGAGGTAGGGGTTTCATCCTCATTTTACAGATGAGGAAACTGAGGCTCAGAGAGGAGAAATGAGTTGTTTGCACTTACATACATAGCTAGATAGTAGTAGTATGTCTGCCTCCCGCCTCCCCCCACCCCGCCCCAGGTCTCCACACAGTGAACTCAGTCATACTGACAGCACCTGGGAGCTAAGAGCTAGACACTCCTGAATTTGGACCCACTGGCCCACTGTGAGGCCTTGGATAGATCACTTTCCCTCTCTAAGCCCCCATTCCCTCACCTGTGATAGGAAGTAGGGATGCCGACCCGGGAGTCAAAACTCAGAGCTTCCCTTCCCTCCATCTTGACTGCCACTTTGGAGTCTTCATCCACCGCAGCTCCCGACAAGTCTGGGGACAGGACAGGAACTGAGGTGGGGCTGTGGATCCCAGTGCTGCCCAACAGAACCTTCTGCCATGAGGGGACTGTCCTGAACCTGCTCTGTACGGCATGGGAGCCATTAGCCACATGTGGCTACTGAGCCCTTGAAATGTGGCTAGTGCAACTGGGGAACTGAAGCTGACGTTTTATTTAATTTTAACTGAACGTAAGAGGCACAGGTGGCCAGTGGCTGCTGACCTGGACAGCACAGGGGAATGTCCAGCCCTCGAGAGACCCAAAGGGCAGAGGCTGAACACAGGGAGGGGAGCGGGGCCCAGAGCATTCACAACAGCCTCTGTTCAGGGCCAGTGGGATGATCGGTGGGGGGCGGTGCTGAGATGGGCATCAGGAAGCTTCTGGGAGGGAAGGGAAGAGCAATCAAAGGAGGTTCTGGTGGGGGGATGATGGGCAGAGGGTGCAGCATGAGGGGCTGGGACTTGGACCTGAATCCCAGTGGCCTCAGCTCCTGGTCTGGCAGGCCCCAACCCTGGAGCTGGGCTGGCCACAGAGGCACTTCCTTGCTGTTGTCAGAACCATCTTCACATTCTGCCCGAGGGGTGGAGGAAGCCTTGGGTCCTAGTCCAGGCTTTTCCCCTCCTGGGCATCTTTGGGCAGGTTCCTTGCCACCCTGGAACCTGGGTCCCTGGGGGCATTTGGAGCGCCGTCCCCCACAGTACCCACTCGCTCCCTGGCACCTCACGTGTCTGGCTTCTCCCCCGCAGGCCCTGCGTCTTCCCAGGTGACCACGCCGGCTTCAGGACATGCACGGGCACAGCCGAAACGGGCAGGCCCACGTGCCCCGGCGGAAGCGCCGCAACCGCTTTGTCAAGAAGAACGGCCAATGCAACGTCTACTTCGCCAACCTGAGCAACAAGTCGCAGCGCTACATGGCGGACATCTTCACCACCTGCGTGGACACGCGCTGGCGCTACATGCTCATGATCTTCTCTGCGGCCTTTCTTGTCTCCTGGCTCTTTTTCGGCCTCCTCTTCTGGTGCATCGCCTTCTTCCATGGTGACCTGGAGGCCGGCCCAGCGGGGGCCGCGGCGGGGGCCCCGGCAGGAGGTGGGGGGGCGGCACCGGTGGCCCCCAAGCCCTGCATCATGCACGTGAACGGCTTCCTGGGCGCCTTCCTCTTCTCAGTGGAGACGCAGACGACCATCGGTTATGGATTCCGGTGCGTGACGGAGGAGTGCCCGCTGGCGGTCATCGCCGTAGTGGTCCAGTCCATCGTGGGCTGCGTCATCGACTCCTTCATGATTGGCACCATCATGGCCAAGATGGCCCGGCCCAAGAAGCGGGCGCAGACGTTGCTGTTCAGTCACCACGCCGTCATCTCGGTGCGCGACGGCAAGCTCTGCCTCATGTGGCGCGTGGGCAACCTACGCAAGAGCCACATCGTGGAGGCCCACGTGCGGGCCCAGCTCATCAAGCCCTACATGACCCAGGAGGGCGAGTACCTGCCGCTGGATCAGCGGGACCTCAACGTGGGCTACGACATCGGCCTGGACCGCATCTTCCTGGTCTCGCCCATCATCATTGTCCACGAGATCGACGAGGACAGCCCACTCTATGGCATGGGCAAGGAGGAGCTGGAGTCGGAGGACTTTGAGATCGTGGTCATCCTGGAGGGTATGGTGGAGGCCACGGCCATGACCACCCAGGCCCGCAGCTCCTACCTGGCCAGCGAGATCCTGTGGGGCCACCGCTTCGAGCCCGTGGTCTTCGAGGAGAAGAGCCACTACAAGGTGGACTACTCGCGCTTCCACAAGACCTACGAGGTGGCCGGTACACCCTGCTGCTCTGCCCGGGAGCTGCAGGAGAGCAAGATCACCGTGCTGCCCGCCCCACCGCCCCCGCCCAGTGCCTTCTGCTACGAGAACGAGCTGGCCCTCATGAGCCAGGAGGAAGAGGAGATGGAGGAGGAGGCTGCGGCCGCTGCCGCCGTGGCCGCGGGCCTGGGCCTGGAGGCGGGCTCCAAGGAGGAGGCGGGCATCATCCGGATGCTGGAGTTTGGCAGCCACCTGGATCTGGAGCGCATGCAAGCCACCCTCCCGCTGGACAACATCTCCTACCGCAGGGAGTCTGCCATCTGACCTCCGAGCCCGCCCTCTCGCTTCCCACAGGAGCCTCGCTGGGGGGTGGGCTGCCAGGACACCCCCTCCACACTCAGGACAGAACTCACCCTGGCTCCGGACCTTCTGGAGGGATGTGGGGGCTTCAACGACTGGGAGAGCCCTTCCTACTGACTCCAGAACCCAGGCCTGGGACAGGGCCAGGACACCCTTGGTCCGGTCGGCCCGATTCCCCAGCACCTACCCACTGGCGGGCTCAGGAGCCTCAGACCCCCCCACCCTTTCCCCACCGACCCTTCAAGGACATTCCCCGTTTGCTCTCAGAACCTTGGGGAAGGTGCCTGGACTGTTGGGGGGGGTGGGCATCTCGGGGTTCTGGGGTGGGCCGGTGGCTAGTTTGGGAGGGTGGGAGGGGGGTGCGTTTCTTCTGCATGACTGTGGTCTGTTGCTCATGACTTTCTTTTGTAAATATCTATAAATGGAAAGATGGAGGCACCGAATCCACCTTCTGCCATGTGTACCCACAGGACCAGGCGGTGCAGGCCCTCTCCGGGCACCCCGCCCCCTCCCCATCCAGCCGGCTGGTCCCTCGAGGCCCTTGGAGCCAGCTGTCTTGGCCCTTGGATAGTGTTGGGTGTGGGTGCAGAAGTGGGGCCCCAAGGAGCAGGATAAGGGTCGTCCCTCCCTGCGGTCCCTCTGGGCCCGTCGGCCCAGCCCAGATTGACAATGGAGATTGTAACTATATATTTTTAATAAAGTATATGGTCCGTTAGGGGTGGGCTGGTTGAAGATGGAGGGTTGGGAAGAAGAGACAGAGTAAAAGAGGGACAGAGAGACCAACATGATGTGTGTCTGTGTGTGGTATGTATGTGCGTATGGGGTGTGTGTATGTATGTGTCATATGTGTGTGTGTGTGTAAGTGTGGTAAGTATGTGTGTATGGGGTGTGTGTGTATGTATGTGTCGTATGTCGGTGTGTATGAAGCATATGTAAGTGTGGTATGTATGTGCGCGCTGTATATGTGTGTACGTATGTGTGATATGTATGTGTGTATGGTGTGTATGTGTGTGTGTTGTATATATGTGTGGTATGTATGTGCATATGGGTGTGTGCATGTATGTGTCGTGTGTGTGTGTAAGCGTGGTGTGTGTGTTATGTATGTGTACATGGGGTCTATGTATGTGTGTGTTGTATGTGTCTGTGTATTGTGTATGTGTGGTATGTATGTGTGTATGGTGTGTATGTATGTGTGTGTTGTATATATGTGTGGTATGTATGTGCGTATGGGTGTGTGCATGTATGTGTCGTGTGTGTGTGTAAGCGTGGTGTGTGTGTTATGTATGTGTATATGGGGTCTATGTGTGTGTGTGTTGTATGTATCTGTGTATTGTGTATGTGTGGTATGTAGGTGTGTATGGTGTGTATGTGTGTGTGTGTTGTATATGTGTGATATGTGTGTATGTATGGTGTGTATGTATGTGTGTGGTATGTGTGTGCGTATTGTATTGTTGTGTGTGTGTGTGCCCTTCTCTGAGAGACTGACCCTTGGAAAGAACTTTATTACCCGCTGGTCTCCTTTCTGGGTCAGTGGAAAGGACCCTAAATGGGCGCAGGAGGCCTGAGCGGGTCTGAGTCAGACTTCTGCTGTTAACAGGCTGTGTGGCTGTCAGCCAGTCGCCCATCAACTCCCGGCCTCAGTTTCACTCTCTGTAGAATGGAATGAACCACACCTCCTTTCCAGGGATGATGACATCCTGTGTGGAGGTCAGCCAACCCTTTGTAACTCAGGGAGAATTGGCAAGGGCCTGCTTGGTTTACACCCTCACAAACACACACACACACGGGGCCGGGGTGATGAACTCGACCGCAGGACACTGCGGTGGGAAGGGATCTGGGGCAGCTGGGAAACGCGGTCATAGTTGGACTTGGTCTCTGCCTCTCTGTGGGTCCTTGGATGGGTCTCTTCCCTTCTGCAGGCTTCAGTTAGCTTGTGCTGTGTACCAGGCCACCCTAAACGTAGACAACACTGGTTTATTCTTTCTAAGGTTGTGTGGGTGGCCTGGCGGGAGCTCCCCGCCCGTTTCTCTGGGCTCACTCTAGCAGCCTTGCTTAGCATGGAGGTCAGCCAGGCCGTAAGGTCCTCACTCACTTGCAGTCGGGCAGTAGGGCTCACTGCCAGCCTGGGGGCCTCAGTTCTCCTCCATTGGGCTCTCTTCCTCCAACAGGCTACACCAGATCCCTTCACAGTGTCTGGGGCAGCAGTCAAAGAGGCTGAAGGCAGAAGCTGCAAGGTCTCTTGAGCCTAAACTTGAACTTGTATAACGTCACTTCCATGGATTTTATTCGCTAATCCAGGTCACGATTCAAAGGGCAGGAAGTTGACTCCATCCTCTGGGAGCATGGTCAAGTCCCTTGGCAAAGGGTATACACACCAGGTGGACCTGTGGCCATCCTTACTAGTCTGTCCCAGAATCTTTGAGTTGGGGTTTCCTTCCAGCTCTAAGTCTATTGTATGGGCCAACAGTGTACCCAACATTTGGGGTACAAGGAAGCAGAGGACACCCTCCTTGTTCCCAGGAATCTGCTACACAGATGCCCATCCTCTCAGGAAACACAGGGAACCTGGAGGCAGGCTCAGCTGCTGTGAAGTGCCATTGGCTGCTTTCTGAGGGTCCACATTTCATATTGGCCATGTGGGTAAATCATGGTGCATTACACATGCTCTAACAGTTTAAGAAAATAACCCAAGGCCTCTTTCCTGGAGAAAGGGGGCCAAGCGCCCAAGAACTCATCACAATGTCTCTTATTATTTGCATAACAGCTTTCAAGGTAGGTGGACAAGGATTTGGTCTCAGAGAGGAAATGGAGGCCCAGAGAACTAAGGGGCTGGCCTGAACCAAGGTGAGAACAGTCAGAGGCCCAGGGGCCGGCTTCCCCTTCACTCCATTCTCCCTGAGGTTGGGGCTAAGAAAGGGCGGAAGGGGCTTCCTCTCTTCCTCCTTTGTCCCTATCCAGATTTCCCAGAGTGCACCTGTGACCTTTGGGGGCCTTGAAGGGGCCTACAGGGGCCACTCAGCCAGACACAAGTGCGGCTGCTCACCTGCCCATGTTCTCAGAAGGGCCTTGGGATGGGTGCACCCCAGGGTCTCATTCCCTCACCCCAGTGACGTCCCTCCATCCAGCCCTGCAGGCCCCTGGGAGGACTCACTGACCTCATCCCCTCCTGCCTGCTTCATCTCAGTGATGCTCTGGTACCCAGGGCAGCCAGCAGTAGCTAAAGAGGACCTCAGACTCAGGTACCTTCCGCCTGGAACACATGGTAGAGGTTGTCCGGCCCTCCACCCGTAGGGACCAGGGGACAGAGTGTGCAGCCCACCCTAAGCGGGCCTGCCATCCAGAGTGATACGGGGGTACCTCAAGATCCCTCCTAAACACCTTCATCGTCACTGGTTGGCCACTTTGCTCAGACACTCGTGACAGCGGCTCCCTAAGAAAGGTCCCTGTCACTGTTGAGATGTGCATGTGATACAGGGTAGGCAAGTTTTGACAAGAGCCCTCAGCAAGGACTTTCTGGGGTATCAGAGTGGAGGACACTGGGGTGGGGAGCACCAGGACTTGGTGGCGGGGGGTGGGGCGCGCAGCGGAGCCAGCCCAGAGCTCAGAGGCGAGCACACAGCTGCAGGGAGGCTCCAAGGCTGCAAGCCTGCTGCTCCATCGCTGCTGACTCACCTTGGCTCTCCCACCTGCTCCCTTCACAGCCCTCCCACCTGCCTTCCCCTCCCCTGCTCCCCGGCAGGCAGCTCCTCTGATCTCTCGCTTCACTCCTTCACTCCCAGCTCCTGGCAGCCCTGAAATGGGGGTGGGGGGGTAGATCACTGAATCTGGGGGTGTAAGAACATTAGATATCACGAGCTCATAGTCACAGAAGGGGCCTTGGAGGAGCCGTCAAGCCCTTCCTCGGTTCCCACCCCTCTCTCTCTCCTGTGGGGCCAGGGAGTGGGGACCCTGCCTCTCCCCTCTTTACCCTCTTTCAGTCACAGCCCCGGCGGGACATCAAGTGGGAGGAAGGGAGACTAAGGTGGGGGCCAAGGTGTAAGAGGGTGCCACTCATGCAGCTGACAGCCGCCCGCATCCCAAATAAAAGCCCCACCACTGGGGCTTGTAGGTTCATCTTTGCTTGCTTCCTTCCTGCCAGCTTCCAAAAAAAAAAAAAAAAAAAAACCCCTCATTTTCCTTATGAACTCACACTGCTTAAAGAGAAATAGAAAAGAATCTAGAAGGCATTCAACTCAGCTGTTTCACCCCATCAAATCCTCACCCTATCTGTGTTAGGCCTTAGTTAGCTCCCGCGGCTGTGACCCTGGCCCCTTCTTCCTGGATCTGGCTTTTCTCACTGTAGCTTTTTGTGGTTTTTATTGGTATTGATGGATTCTACACATTTTCCTTCTTTTTTTTTTTTTTTAATACAGAGTCCCTGTGGCCCAGCACTGCTGAGAAAACCCCTAGCAGGGATGAGGGGGTAGTTGATGATACTGGTGGTTTTATTTCTTTATCTATTTATTTTGACTGCAATGTGCAGTCTACAGGATCTTGGTTCCTCGACCAGGGATTGAACGCTGGGCCTCAGCAGCAAAAGTGAAGAATCCTAACCACAGGTTTTGTTGTTGTTCAGTCGCTCAGTCGCGTCTGACCCTTGGCAACCCCACGGACTACAGCACGCCAGGCCTCCCTGTCCATCACCAGCTCATGGAGCGTGCTCAAAGTCATGTCCGTCGAGTCGGTGATGCCATCCAACCACCTCATCCTCTGTCATCCCCATCTTCTGTCTTCAGTCTTTCCCAGTTTCAGGGTCTTTTCCAATGAGTCAGTTCTTCCCATCAGGTGGCCAAAATATTGGAGCTTCAGCTTCAGCATCAGTCCTTCCAATGTATATACAGGGTTGATTTCCTTTAGGATTGACTGGTTTGATCTCCTTGCTGTCCAAGGGACTCTCAAGAATCTTCTCCAACACTGCAGTTCAAAAGCATCAATTCTTTTGTGCTCAGCCTTCTTTATGGTCCAACCCTCACATTAATACATGACTACTGGAAAAACCAGCTTTAGCTATATGGACCTTTGTTGGCAAAGTGATGTCTCTGCTTTTTAATACTCTGTCTAGGTTTGTCAACAGCTTTTCTTCCAAGGCTCCCTTTCCCTCCTGTACATGGGTGAATTCCAGTATTTCTCCAAGATACACAACGCTGTGATCAACATCTTTGTGCCTTTTTTGTTTGTTTTTTAACTTTTTTGCCCTTCTTATGACTGTTTGCTTAGGCTAAGCACTAACAGAATTCTGGACTGTGTTTGCCAGACTTTCTAAAAATGCAAACCCCCAGCACCTGAATCTTTCCACAAGGACAGTGTAGGGCTGGGGCTCCCAGGATTGGAAAGGGGAGAAGTTTCAAAACCAAGCCCCACCTCCACAAGCTCCTCAAGGGGCTCCCTGTGGACAAGCTGGGAGTAGATGAGGAAGACTGACTGGCAATGCACGCAGCGCTGGCACCAGGGCACAGAGCCAAGAGCCATGGCATTTATGCCAATATTGATGAAGATTGTGAGTATGAGAACTAGGGGGTCCTAGCTTTGAATTCTGTCTCTACCAGTTACCAGCTGTGTGACTTTGGTCAAGTTGATTTATGTCTCTGAACCTGTTTCCTCATCTGTTAAAAAGGGCCATTCGTATCTATGTCACATGCTTTGCAGTTTGGATTAAATAAGATCTCATACGTGACC